TTAAGTAAAATGGGGTTTAAACAAGTAGTCAAATCAATAATTATTTATTCATAAAGAAAAAAATTTTCTATGCATTTTATAAGATATTAAAGTAGTAATCTAGTATATAGTTGATAAAATTGTATGGTAATTCAGAATTGAATTATTGGGTTATAATGTACACATCAATTATTGAAAATTGAGCTTTTAGTTATCTAAAATATTATTTTTTCTTAATTAGCAACGTTGTTAAAAAATAATTTCAATAGAACTTTTCGGAATGTCGCAGTGACACAATTTAAGGTCTTGCTACATAATTATTATGTAGTAAGGTTCTATTTTTATTTTTACTAAATTATGTAAAATTTATTTCTTTAGGAATAAATACAAGACAAACTCGATTGGAAATAATTATATACTATATAATTATATAATAATAGGATATATTATTTTTTCTTTTGTATGTTAGTTAAAATTAAAAATTAATATTTGCTAATACATTTATCTGTAATATATAGAAGAAATAAATACTTAGATATTTTTACTACTCATGTAAAATAACTCTTAGGAATTCCGTTAATAATATTATTAAACATCTGCAGCTTTAAATTATAGATAATTAAATAGTGTGACATTTCAACGTGAACAAAAATTTTATGTTATCATAAGTTAAAAGAATATTTTAAGATAAAAGGTTTTTAATATTTTTAGAAAAAGTAGTAAATAAAACTTGGTTTTAACCAATAAATATTCTTCATTGGGAAATTATAAATTTACTTTTGCAAAAATTGCATGTATTCGTTTTTTATGTCTTGTTATGAAAAGTTTTATTTGTGTGGAACGCGTGTTGTAGTGGATAAAAAGACTTATATAACACTCTCACTTTTAAACCTTACTAAATAATAAATACACATTAGTAATAAATTACTAAAGGACAGTGGATATAATAATTATACTTTATTTGATTAGTCAATCGACTAAAAATGTGAACGTTGTATTAACTCTAAATAAATTTATTTTTACATTAGTCAATTGTATTTTTTAACATTAATGAGAAAATAATTTATAGAATTTAAAAAATTACTTAAAAAATACTTGAAATGATTAAATGTACTACTTTATTTTAATATAACTAATTGAAATTATTGAATTCAATATTATGTAGTTCTTTCAAAAATTATAATATAAAAATAGTTCAAGAAACATAAATCAATAAAAAAAGTTATGTATACAATCGATACCCGTAAAACATAATCTATAAGATGTGTTATGGCTGTCACGGTTAAGTTAGTTACACTAGAATTACAACGCAAAAAATAATTTTTTTATGCTGCATGTGTGAGGAAAACTATAAATAACAATCAATCGATTACCCCATACAGAGGATAACTCTTTTAGCTCTATTTAATAGGTTAAAAAAGTTTGACACTGAAATTTAAAATCCAATAGAAATAGTACGAACAAAATTTGATTGCTGATATTTACTAGTGAACAAATATACTTAATACTTATATTAATGTAATCGAATTAGAAATGATAACTACCATGCTAGAAATGAGGAGATTAAAAAGAAAGATATTAAAAACATTATCTCGAGAAAATAATAATATTTTAACTAAATATAGATTAAGTTTATCCTTTAGTACTCATTATCCAAAAACACAGCACAACCGATAGTTTATAGCAAAAAGTATTTGTAACATTCCATTAGCGGAGTGCCTCAAAAATAGATCCGGACATTGGAAGCGGAGCACGTTTAAAATAGATATTACCATGTATATCTGCTAGGAATAACACACAGACACATTGTCTTAAAAATGTTGAAGAATAAAATTCAGGGTATAAATGTATTGAATATAGGGAAAATTTATGAATGGATTATCTTAAACAGTAGTACAAGAATTATAAAGAATTTTAAAATTGGCAAGTATTTCAATAGTCTCAAATAATCACTTAAAAATTCTACACATTTTTAGTAGTTTAGAACTTGGTAATTTAAAAAGTATGAACGATAAAAAATGAAATGACAGATTTTTTAAAGGTAATGCAACTACATATTAAAAAATTACTTGAACTTTTGATATTTGATAACAATTACATTAGATTAAATTAGGTTTACCTAAAAATGAAGCTAATATATAAAAGCAAACAGATCAAAATTCAATTAATTTTCGATAGGTCAATTTAATATTAAGACTTTAATGTGTTTGGAAATTTTATGCACATAATTCTCTGGATTAATAATATTTATTCAATAGTAGTACACAAGTAAATTATAATAATTGTAACTAAAATATAATTCGGTAGGGATGAGCCTAAAAAAAAAGAACACTGTAAACAAATGAGTCATAGTTGTCGTTTTTCTTAAAACATTATTGTAATTACTTTGATCAGCCATACGCAGCAGTTTACTTGGTTTAAGGTAGTTATTCGTAAACAGTTTATGTTGTGGAGGAGAGTGTATTCATCAAGGTCTTTCTTTCTCTCGGTTATTTTGCAGAGAACGTATTTTATTACATAATCTATTTATTTTAATTAAAAACGCACATAAATTAACTAATTAATATAAGAGTCTATCTTCGATTTTATTTTATACTTTTTCATTGGATTGGGTAAAATGTAAAAAAATCTGAATAGAATAGATAGAAGAACTTAGATCAATCTAAAAATATCTTAAACTGCATAGAACCCACAATGTCAAGGGGTACGTGCGTTGGACTATAAGTCGAGGGGCAAAGAGAATGTGGCCTCGACATACCTTTGTCGTAACACCATAGTGAACCAACTATAATATATACCCAGCGTGCATAATCGACGATTAAACAAACGCGCTAACTGCGTTGTTAAAAAAAAATATATATATATATATATCAATATTGTTATTATTATTAATGTCATTGGTGGTAAAACGTTTTCATTGTAGTATCACCGCTGTTGCTGTCTACTGCAACAATTACTCTGACACAATTGCATTAAAATAATAGTAAAAAAAAAAAAAAATGAAACTTTTGGAAGAGTTTAGGATAAAAGCATAAACAAAACTCAAGTTAAAATAAAACCAGGATGTCCTGACTTAATCAGTCTCAAAGCTTCACTATGACAACGTTTTTGTATTTCGTGCTAAAAATAACTGATTAATTTTTCAGTCTTAAATGTTTTTAAATGAATTAATAATGCACAATAAAAAATGAATCAGCATAATGCCCGAGAAAATAATTTACCAATAATGATTTTGTATTCCTAACAAAATAAATTATGTGTTGTGGTAATTTTGTTTTAAAGAAGAAAATAATAATTATTAACAAGAATAAAATGTTTAAACACGTATATCTACTCAATAAAAAAAAAAGGTACAATTCGTTGAATGATGACACACTGGGACGCTTATTTGACCTAACTGTATGAAACTATCAGAAAAATAGAATGATAAAATACCTCAATAATATATTAGTAAAAAAATTATTATCTTAATTTAAACAAATCTTTGCAAATATATCAATTAAGTATTCCTATCCTAAAAGTTTTTATTTGCTTTAAAAAATAAGATCTTTAATCAATGTGCAGTAATTTAAATCGTTATTTAATGACAAGTTAACAATACATTTGTCAATATAAAAATAAGTCACATGATTACACTAAGTTTTAAAATAAAGGAAATAAGCAATTTGTGAACTTAGTAGCAAAATAGCTCGCCGAATTTTAGTATTTTTTTTTACTAGTATACAACGTTTTAGTTGGTTACTATATAGAAAAAATGAAATGTGTTATAATTAACTTTTAAATTGAAACATAAAATATTATTTTTTTTTCATTTCTATATATATTTCAATATATATTTTTAGAATAATTTTTTATAAAAATTAATAATTTTACTACGGGATCAATATTTTTTATATTTGGGTTGAAAAAAAATATTGTTTGACTTCGTAGACGTCAACAACAATATACACGTAGGCCGCAGCTTTCGAGTTTCGTCATCACCACATTTGGTCACAGTTACACGACCAATTATACCAACGTTAGTATTAATGAGATAAACACTGTCCAATGATGGCGGGCGCGACAAATTAAAAGCTAAGAGAAATCTTAAAGTTCACTGATTTAAAACTTGTTTCAGTCTAGTAACTTGATTTATTAAGATTATTTGTTTAGACTATAAATAATTTTTGAATAGTTTACACAATAACAATAACAATTAAAATTAAAATTACATTACTTAAAATAAATATACATAGTAATTGTAAGGATAGATAACACAATTTACAATTTAAATAAAATACACATTTTGATTTGTTGTGTTTACTTAAGTGATTCCTATTTGTTCTAACTTATAATGACAAAAGTTTTAATCTTAATTAAAATCCTATGTTGTAAAAATAATTATAAATACATAATAATAATAACTAACAAGAATTGAAAAAAATTTAAAGTTATTAAAACTATAGAATTAATTTATAGATTTATGTATATCATTCATGAACGCATTGACGACATACATTGAGTATCATGAAATAGAAAAATTAAAAAAAAAAACTACATATACATTAATATTTTTAATTTTGTAAGTATTAAATAGCAATTATATAAAGCACATATTGTGTCTACGTTTGTGTAAGTACCGTTAGTTGTTATCACACCACCGGTCGCGTATCACTGACGAAAACTTTCAATATTAAAGTAAAACATTCTTGAGCGACTGCTCTATTAATAAAAATAATATTGGCGACATACTACAAAATAATACCAATAGTAGACTTCTAAGATGTAAACTTGTCAGAAAATATCTTTTAATACTTATCAAAAAATTATATTAATGTGAAAACCCAAGTTAATCATTAACCGTAAATAGACATGAACCTGCATACTAAGTTGATGTTATTGGAAAAGTCAATCGAATGAAGTTATGGCGATCATAAAATTATCACAACGAAAACACAATTACAATTTACTTTTAAAAATCTAAATATAAATAAAATAATTTACTAATATTATAATAATTTTGTTTAAAAATATTCTCTTACCTGCATAACTGGTAACGGAGATCCTGGATCAACTGACTTCATTTTAGATTGATAGTCCGCTCGATAAAAGGGTTGTTGTTGATGTCGTCGTCTAAAAAATGGTCCAAAATTTCTATTGCAATTGTGACGATAATAATTATTGTCGTTCCACATAATGAAAATAGTAACTTTATTTATATGTTACACGATACAGGCGACCGGCGACAACGGGACCGAGTCTGCGATTGATAAAACGGCAATGATAAGCAGTTGCGGATATTTGAACGTCGCGATTATATTATAATACTAAAATTTATTCAATGATTCGCGATTAATAGTTGTAAATAAACGCAAATAATAACAAATAAATGAGGTTTGAAACACAATTTAAGAATAGAACAAAAAAAAAATTAACATGTAAATTTAATCTTTTTTTTTGAAAAAAACGTCTAGATTGTTCACTTACTGACACTATTAATTGCACATCGGTGAGGAACGATTCGACAACATCGGCTGGTCTTGTGTAAGGGCAGTCATCAGCTGTAATACAACGTTGCCAATGCATGTTTCTTAAAATTTACAAGACAGATTTAATAGAATTATATAATATTGTTTATTATTTTGTTAATGTGTGAAATATTAAATAAAATATAACCAAATATTTATTATTTACAATATTTAAATTAATAAAAATATATTTTCAAATTATTTTTATACATTTTTCTTTCCATGATATTTTTCTGACCTCTAGATGTGATATAATAATTTACTTATAATTGTCGTAGTTATTCAAAACTTATGTTTACTAAGTCTGAGTTTACAAAATTTTTATTACAACAGCTTTTCATTAAAAAAATAGTTCTTAGTTTAGGAAGATATATTAAATATATTTGTAAAAATGTTAATAGTTCAAAGTTTATTATTGTGGATATATTCTAATATTTTTTTATAAATATACTTGTCATAAATAATTATGGAAACTAAAATGTTTATGTATAAAACCATTGCTAAGTGGAAATATCTCTTTATTTTTATATTTTACACGTGTATCATACTTTATTGGAATTTATGAGGAAACAATCAGATTAATTAAAAATTAATTTAAAATTTTCATCAGAAATAAGAAATTAACAATTAATTAATTTTAATTATATGATTAAATAGTATAGCAGTGCTTTATTAGAATATCATTTTATTTTCCTTAAAACGTTCTATTAAGTTTCTTATTTATTAATATTTAAATTAATTTGAAATAATTTTTTTAGTTGATTAAAAAGGCGAATAATTTATTTCTAATGGTATTAAAAAGTCAAAATTATTTGAATTTAAACTGGTAATATACAGTTATAAAGCCTTGAGTGAATTCTTTACTCAATTTTTGTAGATGTAAAGTTAATATTTGAAATTATCATTGAAAAGTTCAGTAGACAGGTAATTAATTAAACATGTAAAAAAATATCTTGTTATATGAAGAATCAATTTTTAAAATATAAAATTTAGGGTTTGAAGTTATCTTTCACTGAAAAATGTTACTCTTACTTATTCATAAACTACTTAACAAAAATATACGAGGTTGATATGTATACTACCTAAAAATATGAAGAAATATTATCACTCAATATTTATTCTAATATCAGTTTTGGATCAAAAATTTGCTCTTGTATCAAAAATCGACAAACTTCTAATAACGAAGATGTTTGAGTAGAAACTTTTGCTATAATTTAGATATATTATTTAATAGGTAATTTTTGTAAAGGAACTAATTTATATATTTTTTTAATTTCTTATTAACATTATATAAAAAGACTTATTTTGCAAAATATATTTTGGGCCATATATTATAATTTCCATAAAAAAATATTTAAAACTTAATAATTACCAACAGTCTATATAGCTTTATCTGGAATGTGTTATACTCAGGTGACAAGGTATTGAGGGTTGATTCAGTTTTGCTGGACTATGCTAGTGTTCCTGTCCTTTTTGCCACAAGCAATAACTTTTAAGATAGACCTTAAAATATAAATAACATAATATTAAAACATGGAACAAAATAATACATATTTTTTGCTTCTAAAATATTATGAGTGAGACAACTGTCTATCTATTAATATCATATTGTATCACAATATTTACTTAGCTTAACAGGTATCACTGATTCATCAAAGTTTTAATGAAAATAATAAAAAATTTAACAGAAATTTAAATTTTAAAATTATTTTTTATGTTTTCTAAGTTTTATTATTTTTTTTAGATATAATAATGAGATAAATTACACAATCAAAAATAATCAAGTACTCACTATCAGTATTTCTTCCTGTGCTTGTTCGATATAATAAGGAATTATAAAAAATTTCTATGTAGCAATTGCAGTTAATTTTAATATCAGAATATAATGGACTACATTGTTTTATAAAATACACTTAAAATAATAAATTATATAGCTTAATTAAATTGCAAGTTAAATGTATGTATTTTAGGGTATTCAGATCTGATATAGATTTTAAACTCAAAATCTTTTAGAAGATTTCATGTTTGCAAATAAAAAAAATAGTTTAAATTTTAGTGAATTTATTAATTAGTATAAATATATTAATAAATGTATTTTCAAGCCAAAGAAATATAGTTGATTAAGTGAATGAACATACATCATTATGAAAAACTTAAATATAAAATGTTCTTGAATTTTTTCTTTTATATTCTGGATAATTAATTATCCTTGATTGATAATCATTAGATTTTTCCTGAATTAATTTTAATATTGACAATAATGTAGGCTATATTATGTATATATTTCTAGACATATAAGTAATTAAATATTTTTAATGAAAAGTATTAAATATTGTTTTATTCTGTATGAGGGTTCTTAATTTTTTTAATTGGTAAGATAAATTTTACTAACATAAAAGTTAGAAAATGGTCAAAATTAAGGTAATGATAGTTTGATTATAACTTAAATCAGGAGTTATAGTTTTATACATGGATCAGTTTAATAGTGTGCGGCAGAGAAATCTGCAATGATAAAAATAACATAACCCGCACCTCGCTCCTTATCTAAATTGAAGTGTTTATAACTTCTAAAATATTTGTTTAAAAGTTGTTATCAACCAGTTATTTTCTTAGTTGGGTCGTTTTCTATTATATTAGGTAGTTAAATATATATGTTGCTATTAAAAAAATAAGTCCTAAAGGATAAAAATGTTTGACTAATAAATATTTTATTACATATAAATAAATAATATAAACTTATTATTTTTGGAAAAATTTAGTGGTCAACAATAAATGAATGCTCTGTGTATTGCACAAATTTTTTCTATGTGTTTAATAAGAAATTTTTTTTATATCCTATTGTATGGTTATCATTATTTTTTTTTTTTAATGGTTTCAATTATTGAAGGAGCAGATTTTTAGTTTTGGTTCATTATTATTTAAGAACAAAGAATTGTAGTTATGTTTCAATAATAAATTGTATACAAGTGTTATGAGTGTAATATAATATTGTATTGATATTATTTTATTTTAAAATTATAGAATTATTAGATTAAAAAATTAGAAACAAATAAAAAACATTGGTTAAAAAAAATATGATGTATAGTGTACATTTTGTATATTATTATATCTTAATATATTTAGGTTTAATGAAAATTTAGTCCTCTAAATTGTTGCATTTCCCCTGGAATCTATGAATATGAAAAGTAAAGATTTTATATTAGTACAGATTCAAATTTTCAATGTTAAATATAATTATGTAGTGCTGATCCTAAATATTGAAGAATTCAATATACTTTTATCCAGACATTTTAAAATTTTTATACCAAAGGTTTTTGTAATTTATATATTTTTCAATGAAGTTAAAGGAATCATAGCACAAAATGTTTGATTTCATTATCTTTTCGTCTGCTCTGTAATTACTTATTAACGAAATAACCTATGCGATCTAGTGGTTATTTATTGAAACGTTTCTAGCATTATTTCTTTGAACATGCAAACGTTTTGAAAAACAAAGAATTTCAATATTTTGATCTTTATTTTTGAATTCAAGTCAATAAAACTGTTTAAATTTAGTAGTCTTATTTTTAGTAGTCTCAATTATTTTACCTTTTTTAAAAATACTGATTCCATTGAAAATCTAATAAAGTATATGAGATACATTAAGCTCTCTTTGGGTCTGCTTTTTATGTGAATCCAATGAAAAACAAGAACAGAAAAGGTTTGAAAAAGACTTTTTTAATTCAATTTTAGAAAATGTTCCGGAACATTTCACAACTTTTAACATATATTAAATTAAAGCACATAAAGTATTACTACAAGAATAAAAAAAAATTTGTTTGATGACTGTTATAATATGAGAAATCAGCCGTAAAATTAACGAATTTTACAATTAAGAAATTGAAAAAATTTTGAATATACAAATTATTATGAAATTAACAAATTCGAATCAATGTTAATCACTGTTTAATATCATCTTTATATATTTTTTTCATTGATTTCGTTACATTATTTTATGATTGTACAATACAATAATATATCTATATAAAATTATTTATTTTATACACGATGTAGATAAAATAACTAGGTACATATTTTGGCCAGATAGAAAGCAAGTATCTTAATCCGTAATACCATGTCCATTGAATTGTTATGAACTATTACACAAGTCGTGCTGATCCAGCACATAGCTGACCACTGAATATGTCCATATTCGGGTCAAATATTATAATAATACGAAAATATATTATTTCTATGTTAAATTATGTATATTAATATTAATTTTTAATAAAATATTTTAAAAAAAAAGAAGGGGATCGTGATTTTACATTTTTATATTAGATACTGTCACAGTGAAGTTATTTTAGCTATAATTCAAAAGTGAATCACAACAGAAATAATATATAATTACCAAGTTTAAAACTTCATTTCTATCTATCTTTTTTTGCGTCCTGAATGGACTGAAAGAAGATATGATTTTTAAGAGTTAAAAAAAAAAATTTAAAAAAACTTGTTTATAACATAAATAAACAGTTTAAAATGTCCCATAAAACCAATATACATTTTGAAATTTTCAACATTTTTATATGTAGTGATTTAATGTTAAAAAAAACAACCTTGATTTTTAATACAATAGAGCATAAGTTGCTAGTTCTGCATAAACCTAACCATCAACTTTTTTATTTTTCTAATTTTGTTCTGGGTTGAACTTTTTCAATCTTGATATAATTAACATAGATTGATATACTAATTCGTTAACTTTGTCTATTGTAGTACTGATAATACAGGAAACATAACCAATCATTACTGTTAAATATGTTAAATAAAATAACAAACCATCGACTTTGGGCGGACATTTGGTTAAATTTCACTTGATATTACTGGTATATTTTTGTATAAGAGTATTACATATTTAATGTAAATCAATATTAATACATAATAAAAACTTAATAATAATTAATATTATTTTTATTTCGATAAAATATATCCATTTAAAAAAAATCGCACCATATTTCAAATCCGTATTGTTTACTTATTGTGTTATCTAATCGATCATTGTCAAATATCGCCATAATAAGAGTAATTTAATGAACCGTTATGGAACATAGTTCAAAATATCTATTTTGAACTTAATAAGAAAACAAAGGTATCGAACAGTTGTTAAATAATATTGTCTCTGTACGATTTACAGAGTGATTGTTTTAACACTAGCCAGTCGATTTCTTTTAAAATAATATTTTTTTTATACATTTTTTTTTTTGGCTTTTTTTAGTTACATAAGTATTACTATATATTTGTAATATTTTTTCTACAGATTAGTCTCCGTCCGAACGGTAGAAGCTTAAGAGATAGAAAACCTTAATTGTTTAATTTTCAATAATTGGCTTTATAATTTAATAATTTATATTTTTTAACCTATAATAAAATGTATAAACCACGCAATAGTATTTATAGTTGCTGTTTTTTACAAAATATCAATAAAAAACAATTTTTGCTAATTAAAAAGAATAATTGAAAAATATCAAAAAATAAAAGTTCAGTACAAAATGCCATATTTAACAGCACAAATTAAATTATCAATATTCATTTGAATTTTATATCTTAATCAATATATTTAAATATAGAGCAAATAAAACATATTAAATGTAATTCAAACTGATTTGGTTAGCGAAAGAAAACAACACATTATTATCAATTTTTTAAATAAATTTCATAATAATATAACAATAGTATACAGATTTATTTTGTAAACATTAGCCACTCAATATCACTTAATATAATAATTTTTTTGGCTTTTGTTAGTTACAATTGAAAAATTAAGATTTTATAACTGTTAAACTTAACGCTGTCTTAACGCTCCTGGACTGACTCTAAACTGTAAAAATTTTTTTTTTATTTTTATGTTAATTAATATATCCAACAAATGTATGGAATTCAAATTATAAATTATAAATTCTATTTAAAAACTAATTACAGAATAATGTATACATTAAGAAGGTACTTGTACTTTTTTACGACGCATCAAAATACGTCTATTAATTTTATTGTCCTGTTCATTTGAAGAAACACATAGCGTCAATTTTTTTGTGATTTCGATTAGCCATAACAAAAAAAAAAAAAAATTAAACAACGAAACGTCGTCACAAAAAAAACGGGTAATGATTTTGGAAATTGAATAATAAGTATAAATATAATATATATATATATATATATCATGAACTACTTAATAAATCGAAAAATAATATTAACATTTTTTTCATTTGTTTCTTTTAGTTCAATGTTTATCACAATTTTTCAATTATAAAGTATAATATTTTAACTGGCAATACACATAATTAACTAGCTTATTTATTAATTATATATATATATATTAGGGTGGCTCAAAAAAAATCGATCTTCGAAATGTTTATGAGATACCTCATAAATGTATTATATACATTAAAATAAACATTTTATGAAAATTTGAGATTAAAAAAAAAATTTTTACAGGTCGCTCAACGCGTTTTAAGAAAATTGACCAAAAATACTCAAAAAAACATAAAATGTCATTATTTATTCAATTTTTGTTCAAATTTCTTACTTAGTACATCTAAATTGTTCGTTTTTTAATGCCGAATAATAATAATTAGAAAAAAAAATTGTAAGTCCTAAATTGATTGCGTAAAGTTCATAAAAAGCTCAAAAATATGGTTAAGTTCAACGAACTGTTAAGTAAACCAAAAAATTTTTTTTTTTCATTTTTTTTTTTTAATTTGATTAATATTTGTGTGTATTTTAAGAGGAAAAAATTTTTTCCACTAATGTTTAAAACTACTACCTTTTTTTTTAGATTAGAACGTACGCTAGAATATACGATGTACATAAAAATAAATGAAAATATCGTCAAATTTTACTGTTTCCTTTTTACATTTTTTTATTTTAAAATTTGGCATTAGCTATATATACATACATATATATTTATAATTATAAAAATAAAAATAATTTTTTTTTTTTTGTCACCAATGTTGATTTTTTACAATCGGGGTACTCATTCTAGACAGAATAAACGTATCTAGCCGAAAAGCCACGTATATTTTGGCGTCTGCTTTAACTTAGTGTGATTGAGTATAATAATATATTCTATTTTGCAAATTCTTACTCATCATACAATGTAATTTATTGTTATAAAAATTAATTTTTCTTTTTTGAACAAATACATAATTTTGTTTTTGATATATTATATAAAGTTTTAAAAGAATTGTACTAGTCGCACTGACATTTTGCTAATATAAATATCTTGAAGTTAATTTTAATGATATTATTTACTGTAAAGTGCTATTTCACTCCATATAATGACTAAATGTCTTATCGTTGATTAGATTAGTATTAAAAGAAACGGGGCATAATTATAGTCGAGTTCGTGGAAAGTTACGTATTCAATTAAAAATAATACGATGCATTATTGACGAAATTCTAATAAAAACATCACTATGCCGTTTTGTGTAAGATTCAGACTTGTGGGATCGCTGTTACCTTTCAGTTGGATGCATTTAAATAGGTTGGAATTGGTCTAGAGTTCTTTTTCTCTAAAGGTTTAGTTGGATTTCCCGAAAGTACCGTTGCGGTTTGTTCTAACAAAGAATGTATGAAGATATAATTTGCACATGTATGCACATAATTTTTAAAAATACAGAAAATTTAAACTTAAGGATGAAAATGGAGGAACAAAGACTATCATTTTTAAAATTACAATTTTACTTATAGATACTCTACTCAGGTAGCAATTTAAAAAAAATTGTTATAAAAACAATTATAACATCAATACAACATTATTTGTTATAATATTATAAAAAGGTTATTTAAAAAAAAAATATCTAATAAGAGTTCATTTGAACACATTCTCTTAATAAATCGTTGATAAAAATGACTTATACGATTTGGAAGAACATTAATGGCGTGCACACTGTCTGATAACATCGTTTAAAGTAAAATTTAATAAAACTTTTTTACTATTATTGTATATTTGTATGCTCTTAGGTTTTAGCTCTAATTACATGGACGATGATTTACTATAAATATACAATATTTATTTCTTATTATGATTTATACGTTACAACAAAAGATGATTTGTATATTAATACATCCTTATATTAAAATATTTGTTGCATTTTATATGACTCACTCGTATTCTTACACATCGTTATCAGTTTACCCCACTGAAACTTCTGTAAAGAGCAGTATGTTATAGCTAAATAATTTAATTACTTTAAAACCAATTCTCTAAAGGCCATTAGTCTAGCTTCGATAGTTTGGCGACAGGGACGTCGAATGAAAATCATACTATATTTTGGTAAATTATTCATTTTTCTATTGTTAAAATTGTTTTTAATCGTTATTAGCATTCAACTTTATATATGCTTAAATATCTCTGATACAACTTGCAAAAGTTAACGATTTTACAAAATTATTTATGTTTTAAATTTTTATAAATTATTATCTAATAAATATTATGAAAAATTCTTAAAAAAAAATGAGTTTTATTAAATATGAATCCATTTGAATTATTTTATATCAACATCATAAAGTTATAATATCACAAATATATTTTTATTTTTAATTAGTTATAATCGTTCTTAAAAAAAAAAGAAAAATGATATATGATAAATTATAAAATTATTTTTTGAATCAAATCAAAGTTGAAATTGTAATTAGATAACATATTTCAACATTGCTTCGTAATATTTAATATAAATGAAGTTTTGGGTCTCTTGTATAAAAAGCAATTTCTCGCATATTGATAAATTTTTATACCGTTATTTGTACGTCATAAGTTTTATTAGTTTGGTGCACTGTTTTCCAACCGGTGGTCCGCGAGCCAGTCATAGGGGGTCGCGATCCCATAGATTTTTTCTTCGATTTCTATTAGAAATTAATATTTTTTTTTTAAATAGTGAAAAAAATTACGGCTTATTGAGGAATCGTATAATATTATACGGTTATCTTATTATTGTTGCTGCCAACAACCGATAAGTATTTTTCATAAGTGTGTAGGTATCAGATATACCTAAGAATGGAAGTTATTGCTTACATTCTTAGAAGACAATCAGGGATGCCTAAGTGTCACATCTATCCACTTGGCAAAATTTAATTGTTTTAGTCGGTATATTTTTCATATAAGAGAATGTTACTAAAAAATAATTAAAAAAAGATCGCACAATTAAAAAAAAATATTCAATCAGCAAAATAAATATTTCATTCTTTAATATTCTTAGCTTCGAGACGGTCCTACGGACAATTTAGATCATATTATTTTGAGTTTTGTGAAAAGTTGCATTTTAACTTCTTTTAATAATTTTTAATAAATAAATGAATAAATTTAAATATGATCGTGTACTTTATTTCTCGATACTACAGCTTAATGAAGAAATGTTTTCTTTTACAGGTAAAATGGCTACACATAAAATTCCATTTATATTATCTATTTTAATCCTCACTTCTTCAGTTGTGACGGCAGGTCCGCTGGGTGTCGGTATTTGCTATGCTGGATGTGCTGGAGTAACTGTTGCGTGCTTTGCTGCAGCAGGAGCCACGTTTGGCACAGTTCCCGCTGCTGTTATTGCGGCATCACCAGCGTTGGCTGCATGTAATTCAGCATTTGCTGGATGTTATTCTGCTTGTGCTTTAGCACTAATCGCACCAACTCCATAGCAACATGGTAAATTTTCTACAATTTTTACTTATAATAATAATAATAATAATTTAAAAATATTAAATTGTTACTTTTGATGTTTTCAATATATGAGTGTGTTATCAAACATTATTATTTACTTTGTATTTTACTTAAACAATTTTTTCTTTTAAAGTAACTAATATTTGATTAATTATAAATTATTTATGAAAATTTGACTCAGTGTTTTTAATTAAAATGCTCACGTTCATATGTAAGCACATAAATGACTCACGGGTATATTATATTTGAAAGTAATTTTACGATTCAATGCGAGTAAAAAAGTTGCCTACATCTTGCTTATACTAAAAATGATTTAGATGTGTGCAACATTCATCTCCATATACGGATATGATTGTGAGTTTTTGAATGGAAATCGGTACACAAAAGTCTAATTTATTATTGTAATAGTACATCATTTCAGTCATCAAATTAATTTTGGGGAATGGGGAAGAGCCCAGGGTTGAAATAGCCTCAAAATATGTACCGGGAAATTAAATTTTTTAGAGACCCTACTCTTTTTACCTGGCCTTCATTTTTATCACTCATACAGTTGAAAGGGGGAAGCGATACTTACAAAAAAATTGGAATAATTATGCTATCTTAAGTGTATTATTAAAAAAATATTTATTATACGAAAGAAATTTTAGTCCTTCAATAAAAAATAATTTACTGTCTTTAGTTTATGACTACCCTTTGTTATATGTTATTTATAATACATGGAATATAGAATAATATTAAAATAATAAACAAAATTGTCTCATATAACAGTTATATGCTTAGAAAAAATGTATAATAAAAACTAAATGATAATTGCTGAAAACACAAATGATACTGATCATAATAATATTTAACTTAAATGTAAAAGTAAAATTGAAAAAATATAAGATGATCTAACATTGACTCAATTTCACTCTCTCAATACATCAATCAACATCAATAGTATCGACAGAAGTTATTATAACAAAAGAAAAAAAATGTTTACGAACAATTAATTATTTAAAAACTGACAAAAAGGTAAGCAAAATAGTATATTAACTATTGTTGATATAAAATAAGAAACATAAATAATTTGAATTTTTAAGCAATATAAGAAAAAATTTAAATTAGTACTTTTGGTAAAAACAGAGTTTATATTGAGTAACGATCATTGAAAGTATTTCATTATATAGTTTGTGAGTGCCTGTTAAATTTTAATATATTTATATAGATATATAGTGATGATTTTCTTGAAAATTATATTATTATTATAATATATTTATTGTCAATAAAAACTACAAATTACAAAACTAGATATATATCAAAAATACAAATATTAACACCTTTGTTATTATTGAAATTTAGAATAATTACTATTTTTACTTATTGATTTTTATAATTAATTAATTAATTAACTGATTGCCTTAAATAGTCATTCAATAAGTGCAAAAATATAATTAGGTTAAAAAGAGTGTTTTAAAACTTATTGCGCCTATAGGTGCAATAAAAATAATTATTTTACAAAAGTGAAAAAACTCTATTTAACAGTAAAAAATAATGTAATTGTTAAATTTAATTATTCAAGGGATATAAATATGATAAAAATTTATTATGAAATATGTTTTTTTAAGCTATTTAAATTTAATTTTAAAATGTTCAGATTAATTTAATGAATGACCCTTATACAAGTATTTGTTTTTATACAACTTCTATAGAATGTGTATAAATCATTGCTTCATTACCATCAGGGTCGTTTTTGATGGTGACAATTAGAGCATTTTACTTATAGTATTTTTTAATTAAAACGAGGTTCGATAGATTCGTACTCTTGCTGGTTGGGCCACACTTTGAGCACGCCTTAGTAATCCAATTTTTAATAATTTAAAAAATGTAGCAATAATGAATATTTATTCTATTAAAATAGACACTTAATATTTTATATTAAATTATTTATAAAACTATAGAAACCCTCTCTTTGTTATTCATAATCATAATCAGATACAATACAGAGTCCTACTCCATCGGTAAATATCAAACATGTAACTCAAACAAATAGCCACAAAATAAAACAAAACTATGTTTAATTATTTTGTTTATAAAATTTACACTTTTATTTCTAACACAATATGTTATTATCAATTTTATATAATATTTAATACTTAGAACATATGCTGACGTAAAAATGTTAAGATTAGACGAGTTTACCTCTACGAATATTTCTCTAGTATTTAAAATTATTGTGTGAACAGTATTGCATTTTATAATAAAAAAATTGTAATTCACAATAAAAAGGAATTTTTGAAAAGTTTCAAATTTGTTTTGTCTAAATATTTGATTTTTCAGTAGGATTACTATTTTGAAATTTTTCAGTTTTTAAGTTTTTAATTCATATTATTTAATATCTTACTTGTACTCGATAACTTTTCAACTAACCTGGATTTATATTTTTGTTAATTGGGTAATATTGTACAAATGTAAAATTATCTGAATTGATACACAAGAGTGATTAAAAATAATCTTAAAAGATAACAGAAATTACAATGCATTAATACAATCATAAAATATTAATGGAATACTAAAAAGGCCAATAATAATTTATAATTTTCATTTATGAACAGTTAATTTGATTTCAAGGTAAATATTAAAATAAATAACACAACAGTAACAATCAAAATTTTTTAAATAAAATTAATATTATCAATTCCGTATTGTAGATTATGGCTTGTACAATTATCAAATCACAAATTTAAATAATTTACAATAGATGCACCCTTCAATAAAAATCTAATCACAATAAAAAGATAAGTGACATTTTATCTACAAAATTAATTTTTTTTTCTTATCTTTTGGTACAGATTTTTTTGTTATCTTTTTGTACGCAGTTTTTAACAAGAAATAAATCACATATAAAACAATAAAAACAATAGAAGCGATAAAAGCGATCACATCAACTAGGAAATACTTCCACCATGGCATTCCAACTGCTGCTGTTCTCAAATGACTAGCTCCTTTATGTCTTATTACATATTCTGTCCAATAAACTGCTGTTTCTGTAGCATTAAGTGGTCGATCAGAAAATCGTTGCGATAATTTTTTTGCATTCAAAGAAAAACTGCTATTTGTAATAATGCTATTTAAAGCATTAAAAAGAGATTCTTTTGTTAAAGAATAATAATCCAATGAAATTCCAGCACCATTATTAGCCACATTCTGAATATTTCTGAATTGGTCAAAAAAAAATGGAATTCCTACTACTGGTACACCCGATTTTACAGCTTCCATTATACCTAATAGTCCACCATGAGTCATAAATATACGTAATTTTGGATGATTTAGAATATCTCTCTGAGGCATCCAATTACTAATGAAAACATTTTTGGGTTTATCAGGCATCTCTTCTTCAAATTTCCATAAAACTCGAATTGGAAGCTGTGCAAAAACATCTTTAAATATTTGAAGTAGTTCTTTTGGTAATGTTGATATACGGATCATGGAACCAAATGTAAAAAACAAAACACCATTCGGTGACTCTTCAATAAATTTTAAAATAACCTTAGGAATGGGTTGTGGATGTTTTATATGAATGCCTCCAATTTCTACCATGTTAGGTACAAGTGGCCGTGGACCATCTAATGAAAAATGATTATTTACAAATACCATTGATGTGTTGTATAATATGTCATTTATATATGGAGTTTCTGGACCAAATGATTCTTTTAAAAATTTATCAGCTGGCCATTCACTAAATATTTTCCATACAATTTTAAAGTATATATAGTAAATGGTGTTTTTCAGTCGTTGAGTAAAATCCATTTTACCAGAAGTTGGCATTATCATTAAAGGTATGTACGATGGATTATCCGGACCACCAACACGATCATAACTCCAAGGTAAAATACCACTTGACATCATAGATATTAAAGGTGCTTTGTAATAATATGCATATCCAACGTCACAATCTGATCCAAAAATCTCAGTAAAAACCTGTAAATTTATAATCATAAATAATATGTAAATTTAATTTTAAATTAAATTATTTTAAATTTATTCCTTTTTCATAAAACTTACTACGTCAAACTTGATATCACTTTTCAACATCCCCTGTACTTGAGGTAGTTTTATAGTTTCTCGGCACAATTTTAATTGATGATCAGAAATGAACATTTGGTTCATAATTATTACTCGATCACATTATTACATAATCTATAGATTATGTAATAATTTAATTATGGATCACTATAAGAATAATACCATTTCAAAAGAGAATAAAGTGTTTGACCAAATATACAATTCTTTATTTAAAAAAATGTTTTATTTAGACTTTAGAATTAAAAATAATTTATTATTGTGTGTATATTTATTATTAAACCATATTGACAATTACTTTTTTACAAATCTAAATTGTCTGCTAATGAGCACGAGAGACCAGTGTTGTCCGGTTCCACATTTAATTGTACGATTTTACCGGTTTTAATTACCATAGAATAACGCTTCGAACGAACACCACCTAATGGAAGCAACTCAATAGCTAAATCAAATGCTTTTGTTAATTCAGCCATCGTATCAGCAAGCAAACGCACCTAAAAGTAAATTTATAAATTTCATTATTCAAAATTATTTAAAATGTAAGTCTATGAGGTATAATAAAAATATATACAATATATATTAGTTATAATAATACATTTATTATAATTCAATTGAATATTACCTACATGGTAATATTCAATTGAATTATTTTGATTATTATTGTTTTATGAATTACATCAATAGAAATTATTGTTAAAGTGTACAAGTCTACTAATTTTACAACGATGTAATATCTTACATATTCTTAATTTCCAAGTTAATAAATAAATCATTAGAAAAAATTAGACAACAACAGCTACCTAACGTTAAAGTGTAATGTAAAGTAAAGTGTAAAATTAAAACATGTATACATATCTCTTACTTTTCCTTCAGAGTTTTGATCTTTAGCCCAAGCTGCCATGACAAATGCATCATTAACCGAAACACAAATGATTTCATCAACTCCCTTTTTCTTTAAATCGTCAGCTTTATTTATATAACCGGGCAAATGTGTCTGAAATTTTATGCAGATATCTAAAATTTCATCATTCATATAATAGATTATGACATGATATTACCTTAGAACAACCTGGAGTGAACGCCCCAGGGACAGCAAATAATACAACAGTTTTATCTTTACACAGATCTGATATATTTACTTTGTTGTTAGGAGTATTTTCCGCTAATTCCACATTAGGAATATTATCTCCAATCTGTCAAAAACAAAGGTAAATATATATTTTACTTTGTATTTCTAAACTTTTAAACATAATTAAAATAAGGAAATTAATAATAGTGTCGATCGGACTACTTGTCTAAAGTTTTTTTCTTATGTGGAGGCCTTGCAGACAAAAGTGAAAAAAAAAGTCATTTTGTAGTTCACCCTAAAAAATGGCTGCGTTTCAGTCCTACATTTGAAATTTACCCAGAATCTCGCAATCATAATGACTCGACTAATTATAATATAATAATAACTCACTTGGATAGGCATAATTGATAGCTGAGATGTACGTCTTAGAAATGGCACTTGACTAAAGTTTATAATTTTTAAGATAACTGTAAAAAATAATTAACAGGGTAACATCATTAATGAATGAATCCCAATGAGTTTTTAACTGAAACATTTTCTATCTAATTGTGCCTAGTTATAGTTATTTCTTTTAATAACAAAAAAATTTCTAAATTTAGCTCTACTGCAGTATGACAATTTTTGATAGAATATGTTTTGCTGATCATTTATTAGAAAATTCTGGTTTTTTTAAATAAAATAATTAATTAAAATTTTTGTGTTTAGTAATTTAAAAAAACACAAATATGATTTCACTTCAGGAGTCTCTCATAAAATTGTAAATTTATAAAGAACTTTAAAAAATTTTAATACATATGCTACATTACACGTTAACTTTTTTAAATTGAGGTTGTTAACAATCAAGACAGTGAAAAAAATCGATATTTATTAGTTTTTTTTTTTATTTGAAATTACTTAAATGAGGTGTATATGAAAATAATGTTCAGTCGATATTTTTTAAACTTTAATATTATTGAGCTTAACGATTAAATTTCCCATTATCATTTGGACTGATTCAATTTTAGTTAAATAAAAAATATCGCTTAAGTTTTCAGAGACACAGTACTTCAAATACTTTTCAATTAAATGACATTTCAATTGGTTATAATAAAAACAATTTTATTCATTTATATAATTAATTATACAATTATTTTTTACAAAATTAATTTCCGAGGTTGAAATTTTAGAAAATAATGTTATAATAACGTTATAGAAACATTATTACAACATTGATAAAAATAAATGCTTTTAAGGTTATGTATAAAAGAAAAAATTATTAATAGAAGTTTTTAAAATTATTAAAAAATCTTATTAACTTACGTCGTAAATAGGTTTTATAGTAGAAATATCTTAGTCGGTAAGAATAACGTGTACTGGTAACACGTCATGTAAAAAAATATAGTTTAAAAAACTAAAAAAACACGCTTTTAAAGTACATCGAACTAAAAAGTTAAAAATAATTTTTAAAATAATTATGAACAAAAAATACTAGTATTATTGTGATAAAAGCGT